CCCAAAATGAAACCGGAAGCATACCCTTGCCCTCCTGCCCGCAGGCAGGGGAGGGGGGTGAAGGCATGGGGGTGGGTAACTGCCCTCTTGCTCCCTCCCTGCCGCGCCGTCTCTCGCTTCAGTTACCAAAAAAGGCCCCTGCTGACCTGCCAGGGTGCCATGCTGATATACAAAGCAGCTTTATCCTGAAGTAGGTCGAACGCAAGCTTCGTGTTGAGTAGAGGCCGCGGAGTGCCCCGATCTTGACTTGGAAGTGCATCCGCACCATGGACGAAGAGGTAATTTTGGTTTATTTACCTCAGCTGCCGGGAGTCTCTTCAATTTGACTTTCTTCTTCGTACTTCCCTTTTTGTACTTTTAGCCTTTTCTTTTTCATCCATCTCGCTTGTATTCTTTTGACGCTCGCCCCTTGTCCGTTCACATTCAACTTTAATCTCTTGACTTTCCATCACTCGGCTTTTTGTCGACTTCGTACCGTTGGACTTTTATTCCTTTTGATTTGCCCGACCGCTTTGGACTTGTTGCATTTGGACTCTGGTCGTTGTTGACTTTTCACATGAAACTGTTTTGTTCTTTAAAGTTGTTGTCCTTTGACTTTTGTCCTTTGGCATATTGCCGGTTAAATTTGCTCTATTCAACTTTTATCTTTTGACTTGTATTTATTGAGTTCGATCTATTTGACTTTTACATGTTTGATTTCATTGATTTGAAATTTCATTTCTTGACTTGCATTTTCTTGACTCATTTTCACTTGACTGCAAAAGAGAGTGCATCTCACTGTGTGCAGTAAACAATGGTGCCATTTCATAAAGCACAATATACCGCATTAGACAAGCTTATTTGTTGACTGATGTTTAATCACTTTGTTATGCTGATGAAGAGCTAGCCCGCATGACCTTAAAAAAAATCGCTTACATCATATGACATGCATCCATTCACGGATCTAGTGGAGGGCTTGGGCCAAACTACCAAATCACGGCATTTGGCCAATCACGCAATCTACTCAATTTTTTTTGGCAGCCCCGTGTAAGAAAGTGCTGCTTTGTTTGAGTCCAGATGTTTGCGTAACACACGAGAGGTGTGCGAAAATTTTTGTCGGAGTTGGCGTCGTACTACACCTTTTGATTCAATTATGTCTTGGCATCAACAAGTATTATCAACAACATGTTCGTAGTAAACAATATTCAACAACGCTCAATAATACTCAGTTACGTTAAACAACTCACAATGAACAATTCACAATGACCAATACTTGTATGGGATTGAGGCTAAAAGCCAGCGATGTAGACTGTGGTTGTCGAAAACGCATGTGCTAGTGAAAAGGGCTGTCACTTGCATGCTTGTTATGGGGTCGGTGTTACACACCTTAGGTGCACGTAAATTTATGTCTAAATTGGCCGGATGTTCACCGCCCCGACGCAGACCAAGCAGGTACGTTAATTGTGTGGAGCAGCGCACCTACCAACACTTCCGTCGTGTTGCTCTCGCCCCCAGATAACATTGTAACGGCTGAGCAGATGAAAGATCAAATAAACTGAACACACCTGGGGTCATAAGACACGCAAAGGTTTGAGAGGTGCAACTGAAAAGCTCCGGAGTGAGGCTATGTCCGAAGCCCTTCATGACTAACCATGTTCTCGTCCCCAACAACCAAAAGTACGTGCCACAGCCTATGACCGCATAAACGAGTGTTTTCGGCGCCCCAGGTGGCCTCTAGAGGGGTTGCCTTTATTTTCAGATCAGAAGGGGTACATTGCCTCCAATGCCCCGCCCCCTCAAAAAGGGATACATGCCTCCAATACCCCGCCCACTTTCTCTGGATCCGCCCTCTGTCTGGCTACTGTGCAGCTTAAATTTAAATTTGTTGAATGATTGAGAGTTCGCACAAGCAAAGTTTTTTTCATAATAAGAAAATTCGAGGCATAAAGGTCGGGCAACTATAAAAGAGTAATATCTTTCTTCGAAATAAAGTGGGCCAAAACCGTTGGAGTAAAATTGGAGGAGAGGGTGGTAGGTCGTCCAGACCTTGGCCCCCCCTCCCCCCCCAATCATTTACAACGTTTGACACCCCTGCACCAAACGTGACTTGCCTATTCATACAGACGTCAGAATCAAGTTGTAAGGCCTTCAAGTACACCTTTATGTTGTTTCCCTGACCTTCGCGAACCTCAGCAGGCGCTGCGAGCTTGCTACTTCGACACGAAGGGAGGGATCTGTTGCAAAACAATCGCTGTTGTGCGTCTCCGATGGAATCAGTCATGCGTGAATGCTAAGATCGCTGGCGTGGGTGCCAGTCTGAGTCCGCTTAGAGTGACATTGCTTTTTATACGCCTATTCTTCCGCCGGTCCCCATATATTTAGCCAAAAATACTTCCCAGCAAAAAACTACTGCTGTAGATTGTAACTACTACAAAAAACCTACGTGACGACACAACTTCATTCGTTTGACGACAACCAGAAAGTCTGGCTTTTGTCTCGCTTCCCCTCCCATTTATTTCAATGAGACTCTGGCCATGACCACAGATAGCACTGCAATTGCGTAGGTATAGGAACAGGGAGTCCAGGTTAGCCTTGGTTCACCCACTTTTCGCGAAAGCACATTAGAGCAATTAGGTGTGCCAAACAGCTTCCTAATTTAATTTTTCCTGGAACGGGCCGGAAATGTTGTTTCTTAACTTGTGTTTCAACCGTTAAGTTACGATAAGCATAAGCATCATCGCTTTTAAAGCTTCGTCGGTGGTCATAATGTCACGGATCAAAATGCGGCAAAAAGTACCTCAGTGGTACTTGCCTCTCACACGTGGCCTTTCATAAGAACAAAATTCATACGATTAGCACGGTGTGGAGGACATCACTGGAAAAACCACACGAAAAGGGCAGTGCGGCTAATTTTTCATGCATTTCACCCAAAAATATGTTTCATTGCAGCCCAACGAAAGCACTGATTCAAAAGGGGTGTTTCGTGCTAACCCTGTCTGGACCCCTCTTACTTCCGGCACATCAGTCCTTTCATAAGTGGAAATGGGGGGGGGGGGGCGGGGGTCGCTCTTGCCAAAACGGAGGGGCTGTTCAAAGTCACCCGTCCATGGCAGCAGCGCCAAGCCCACAGGGTGCTAGGGCAACACGCTACTGGGTCCAACCAGATGGCAGCACTGGTCCTGATGCTGCCCATGGAAGGATGGCGATTAGACGACCAGGTGGCAGTAGTATCGCTTTTTGTTGTGGCAAAGGACCACTCGCTGATTCAGTTTCAGAAACGCTACCAGTTTTGGGTTGCAGCAAATGTTGTCTCCATGCTTAGCGTAAACAAAGCTTGTCCAATTGAACGAAATTGACGCAAAAGATACCCATGTGTGTCGCATATGCTGCATATATGATATTTTGGTGATAACTGGTCAAGAAGAATCAACGAACCCGACTGATATCTTACTAACCCCTCATCGCAGATTCATGCAGTTTTCAGCGGCAAGAAATACAGTTACTTGAAATATGTGTCGTGTAAATTATAGAGCTTTGTCCGCAAGTTGCTTGATCACGAGGGTACTTCCCTGATCCCTGTCACGTCGCAGTGTCACTACAACTTCATCTTCCGTTCAAAAATAAAGGGAGTGTTCCACATTGAAGATATTGTAGCAAACATCAGATGAGATGTAATGCGCGCACTTGCAACACTTTAGGGTAGAAAAGACCGCTGTAGACAACGCAATTTCTCTATTCAGTGAATATGTTTCTCAACATGTCATTGATTGATTACGTCATCGTACCTTGTACAACATTAATTGAGAGCCAGCTGACGGCCGTTATATCTGAAGTCGTGCTCGCGAACGCCAGATATAAACGACTGGACAATTGTATTTTCTTGGCCTTGATCGCCGCATGGCTGATGGAATGGAGTGATTTGAATGACGTCACCATGGCGGCATGAACGCCTGGGTGGCCTTCAAATAGTCCCTTCCGAAATAGTCTGCACATCTTTGCGGGCGTGCAGCTCAGAAGCTAGGGGCTTTACGTATTAAGAAGGGTAGGGCTGTGAACTGCGCCAAATGGTCTTCAAGATGGCTGTTTCATTTCAAAACCCCATACGAGTGCGGAACACTCCCTTTAACATGACCAACGTAAAAATATAAGATTTCAAAAGCCTGAAGAGCAAGGGTCGAAAAGGGATACCGATCTGAACGGCATGGCGTCACAGTGACACCAGACTCACAGGTTCTCACCCGGAAGAAAACGGACGTGCGCTTCTTGTCTGTGTTGGTCGGTGTGTGCAGGCCACGTGCTCTCGTGCACAAGGTTTTCACAAACAATGAAGCGGCATATTGTGACGCGCCCTTTTAAGCATTGATGTGCGATCTCAACAGCCAGAAGAGATGAAACGTAACACCAACTGCACGGTATATGCAAACGAACACTCTACAGCACACCAACAGATTTCAAACTGTCCGACCCACTGGTGCGCCGGTAACCAACCGGGGGTCAACCTCACCCTTCTGACAGTTGATTCCCCTTCACACGCTTAGCTGGATGCCGTCAAATGCAAAGCTGTGTAAGGCTGCGAAAATAACGATGCCCGTGCGAAGTAATTCTGGCAGCGAGTGTAGTGACAGACAAAACCCACACCAAGAAAGCTGTAGTGGCTTACGCCAGACTCATACTCAAGACCACGGACCCGGAGCGTAGGCAACAATAAATGCGTCACTTCCAGACATTAATAAGTCAATCGTGTAATACGACCACTATTAAGAGGATCGAAAAGAAACCTGGGAAGCGTCGATGAAGCGCGATTGATGCACTGCTTTTCCTTTGTTTGCTTCTCGGTCATGCAAGTCAGGAAGGGCACTTCCATCTTTTCATTAGCAGGTAAACCACACTTGCAACGATAATATCCCAATCGTAGATTGTAAAAATGCAGACCGAGATGCAGCTGCCTAACTTTACATGCCAGTTGTTGAGCCCCAGAGCGACGCATCGCTAGCTGTCTCAGCCTCGGCATTCCCGTGACGGTCCGCTGCAAAATGGGTCCGTTCACGGTCGACGCCTTCGTGGAAGTGCAACCGCCAGTTCCGACCCGCCCGGCAGCATGACTTGCGCGCCACATTCCTCACGCGCAGCGTGACTGGCGCCGAGGCCGCCTCACGCAGCATGACTGGGGCTTCAGATTCAT